GGTCTGAGATATAAATATAAAACAGTAGGTAAAGTTCTCCTTTTTTAATTTAATTGGTGCATTTTAAGTGTATTTATTTAGTGGTTCATGTAATTCTGCTTTTATTTCTAATTATGTCAGTGTTGGTCCTCCGTACAGCAGGAACCTGATAATCATCTATTGATTCATATCAGGTGTGTTGGAGKAGAGAAACAAGTAAAACATGCAGGYCTGCYGCCCTCCAGGACCAGGACCGCCCATGTCTGATGTATACGCACATGTATTTGATATTATGTATTTTGTTATTTGGTGTCATGTTATTGAGTGTATGTATCATACAGTTACTATGAACTTCATGTGTAGATGTATTTATTTTATTTTAGCTGGTTAGGTGCAGGGGATGCATTAAATATGCATGAGGGTGAAGAGGAGTGTATTTGAGTTTGTTTTTGTGTTTAAAAGTTTTGCATTGTAGCTCGGATTTAATTTATATGGTTTGTACTTTTGTTGCTTATTTTATGTGATGTAAGGACCCCCTTAAGAGATGTCCCATCTCAAGGGGTTATCCTTGAAACAAATAAAACTAAATAAAAAGGAGAAATGTTTTTAAATCCTTTTTTCACATTTAAATCTTTCATGGGGTCTATATAAAGTGGAACTGCAATTCTTGGCTCTGAATTCCTAATTATTTGAACTCCACAAGCCCCGCCCCTTTTCTGAGGCATGTCTCAGATCAACTCGTTTCGAGGCTGTCTCTTTAAATCCCTCCAGCTCTGGAAGCTGGAGGGATTTTTATTTACAAATGAATTAAAAGATGAAGATTTCGAATTTTCATTTTGGTCTTTAAATAATTTTACTGCATTTGTAAAAAAACAAGTTAGAAATGTTTGAAGCAAAGAAATATAATTAAGTCTTTTTTGGTCACTGAAGGGATGATAATGTTTTTGCCTGATTTTAATGAAGTTCTCAGAAAGTAATAATAAATGTACAACTGATTATTTTAGGAATCAACATTGGCCAACATATAAACAGCTCTGCTTCACTCAGTGTTAGATATTCAGCTGCATGTGATGTGGTAYGAGCACAGAGTCATCCTTAACTCACTTTCTTAACACATCGGGCATGATTTACGAGGTTTAAGCACAACAGTAACCCTCACTTCTCAGCAGGTTTTAGCTGAAAAGTAAAGTTTGGCTCGTTAAACACAAACAAGAGCTTTAATAAAAATCTCACTTTTCATGATTTCAATATAATTTGTTCCTTTCAGCTTCAGGTAAACTCATGAACACAAGAGATTTCCTTTGTTGTAAAAGTGTTTTCTCTCAGCCTCCGAACCTAAATAAATGTCTTTTTATCACAAAAAGCTAAAAAACTGGAGCCTCTTGAAGACGAGCGYCGGATCTGAAAGAGACTAATGACGGGTGATAACAGCACCATCTGCTGTGGACCATTTGTCACTCCCACACAAGGTCTGGAGGCTGAGAGGAACAAATCCATCTGCTCTTTCCAAACCTAATCAAAGCCCAGAGAACGTACAGCCCGTCAGGCTTCGTCTTCCATCAGGCTCCGGAAAACTTAGCTGAAGCTTTTTCGGTCATTTTAAGGCGTAAAAACAAGCCTGGGTGAAGAAAATGTTAAATCTATTCAGTCGGTAACACGTTCTTTTAATCCTGAGGCCGCAGGTTCGAACCCAGCCAACATCAGCCGAAAGAAAAAAACAACAGGGAAACAAACCGTTCAGAGCTGTGCAATATTTAATTCAACAGGTGTCAGAACAATCTGCACTCATGTTAGAAGAGTAATGAGGTAATGTTGAAGATATTTCTGGGTGATCAGTACTTCAGTTTATAACACAGCACCATCAATCAGTGACATTTAAAACTAAATGCTTCCAATGATCAGAATACATTCATCAGGTTAAAAACCTGTAACCTTGCATAGTTTGGGTTAATGGCTCATGTTCATAATAACAAATTCAAGGCACTTTTATATAAAACGTTAAAGCAGAAGCTGAATAAATTTGTTTTTCTTTCTAAAAGCTAACATTTGACATACAAAGAAAAGCTTCAGGATATATTTAAAGTGATCAAAAACTGATTATTTTAGAACCGTTCAGGCGAGAGCGTCTAACTCTCCTCCCGTCCCCGTCTCGTCGTGACGTCTCAGTTTTCCTTCTTCTTTATCCTGAGGAGCCGCGAGAAGCTCTGCAGAGCCCAGAACAGCAGGGAGAGGGAGACAAAGGCCTGAAAACACACAAACACACACAAACAAGAGTTACAAAACTCAAACTTCAGGCTGATTTATTTCTTCTGTTCTTATTCAAACCTTGGCTGCAATAAAACAAAAAGATTTTTAAAAACAAAATCCTCAAAGTTCTGAGGAATCTGCTCAAACTGAGGACTGAATCTGTAAAGTTCTCATTAAGAAAAGAAACACCTCAAAACATAGTTTAAGAAAAATACATATTTATTACTAAGGTCAGGAGAAATTTGTTTAATTTATTAGGTCCTTGTTTCATTTTCTCTATTTTAAAAATGTAAAAATATTGTTGCTGTTGGAAACTCCTTCAGTCTTTC